CGGGGGGGCCCCCCCATTTTTTAAAAAGTTTGGGTTCCGGCCCCCCCCCTTCCCCCCTTTTTTTTTTAAAAACCCCCCCCAATTTTTTCCGGGTAACCCCCCCCCCCCCCCCGGGGGGTAAAGGGTTTACCCGGGGGGGCCCCCAAAACAGGGGGCCCCCCCCCCCCCCCCCCCCCCGCCCCCATGTGTGTGTGCCCTCCTCCCCCTGGCGTAATCAGAACCGAGGGTAGAAGCTTCTTCTGCCGCAGCGCTCCAAGCGGAGGCGTCGCCCTTGTCCGGCAGGACAAGCCTGGAGACCGGTGTCCTGGGCGGCGGAGGGGGCGGCGGCGACGGCGGGAGCAACATGGTGTCTCGCGAAGACACGGCGGCCATGCACCGCTTGATCGCCCGCTGGCTCCGCGCGGAGGTGGCCAGGCTCGCTCGCAGGGCTGCGGAGCCCATGCTCCCGGTGGAGAGGGCAAGGGTGGTCCGCGCGCTGCTGCACTCGCTCGGTGTTTTTGCGGTATTTTTCAGGTGGGTGTGATGGTGCGTGCGTTGGGTTATTGTGCTCTTTGTTTCGACTGTTGCTGAGAGCGAGAACAACGCACAGGGGGGCGGGATAAGGGCGCAGTGCGTGGGCGAGGTGTCGATGATCTCTTTTGTGCAAACGCATGGGGTTCGCTGCGCACTCCCAGGAACCAAGAGAATCGGCGGGCGGGCGAGGGTGGTGGGGGGCGCGCGGTGACCAAACTACCACCAAGCATGCATCAAGCTTGCTCCAAATGAAGCTAGCCGCATGTTCCGCCACCCGTCCACAGCGGCCTTCTTGTCTCCTCCCCACTTGCCGTCCGGCCCCTTCCGCCGCCTCTTTGTCTCGGCAGCCATGCCTGCGAGGCTGGGGTGGACCACCTCGACCTGCAGTCCGCGCTCTGGGCGTCGGTGGCCGCCAGCGTGAAGGCTCTCGAGCACACCGCGAGGGTGGCGGAGTACGCCACCCTCTGCGAGGGCCTGGCACGGCTAAATCGCGTCGTCCGATCCCTCCTGCACCGGGCGGCGGGCTGCTCCTCCTCCGACCTGTCGGAGCAACGCTGTGAGCTGCAGGTGAGCTCGCCGAGAGCGGGGGGGGGGGAGGGGGGGGATGTACTCATAGTCGTGCATGCCGTAGTCGTTTGTGACCTCGCATCCCTACAAAGCCGGGACGGAGCACGCCGGGTTCTCACCGGACCAGGCTCTCACATCACCAAGCGCGAAGCGCCGTGAGGTATTTGGCGAGTCGCATGAAGGGTGAGCTGCATCCTGCTAAGGGTGTTCGGCATCTTGTGCTTACTTCCTTGCGTACGGATGGCAGCTACGTATGACTTAATTTATCTTCTGGTGCTTTCACTTCCAGAGACAGTTGTAAGCACCGTGTAACTGCCTCGAGGAAGCTTGACCATTTTAACACAACGTGGTGCGATCATCCCCCGTTGCGCGGAGTGAGGTTTCTCGACCCCGCACAACATGATCTACTCGACCACCATTATGGTTACCGCCAAAAAAAAAAACGAGGTAAAAAAAAAAAACGGTAACCTGGTTTCCGAGTTCACGAAGTGAATTGGCTTGTTTTACAACGTCGTTGCCAAGCGACGAAAACCCAATCCCGATGGCAAACACCGAGTGGGGGGCTTGTTTTACAACGTCGTTGCCAAGCGACGAAAACCCAAACCCCGATGGCAAAACACCGGGGGGGGGCGGCTTGTTTTACAACGTCGTTGCCAAGCGACGAAAACCCAACCCCGATGGCAGAACACCGGGGGGCGGGAGGGGAGGGGGGAGGGCGTGTACTCATGTCAATGCATGCTGGAGTCGTTGGACCATTGAGCTCGCATCCCTACAAAGCCGGAACGGAGCGATATGCCGGCTTTTCGCCGGCCGAGGGGGAAATGGCGCTTTTTTTGTTGTTGTCGGGGAATCTGTTGTTCAGCTGCTTGTGTATCCGAATTTTTCCGCACGGAGCGCCGCTTATGTTTTGCACGATGACGCTTGGTTCCGTGCTCATCACGGGCGTCTCTCTCTCTCCCGCGCTCGCGCAAACGATTATGATTGGTGCCGCCCTCTGGCGCCAACAATGTCGCTGATCCCCCCCGTTGTTTTTGTGATGTTGAACAGGGCGGGGGAGGAGACGATTATGGGTCGGCGTCCGCACTGGGGGAGGTTCTACGCTTCTGCTCCAAGATGGTGAGTTAAGTTCTTTCGAGCAACGCGGGCACTACTTTGTCGTGTTGTTTCGGGTAATGCTTGTGGAAAGCTTCGCTCTGCAGATGACGATACCACGAACTACGGCCCACTAGCGTTTCCCACCATGGCCACGCTTGATCGGCTTCCGTTATTTTTTCCGTCTCGTCGGCGCTGTTGTGCGTGCCGGTAGGTCCTGTGCTCATCTGTGACCACGTCCTCTCTCTCTCTCTCTCTCTCTCTCTCTCTCTCTCTCTCTCTCTCTCTCTCTCTCCTTATCTCTGAGCTGGCGTTGTCCCTCCCTTTATTTTTTTCTGTTCTATCCCCGCACTTTCTCCACAACCCCAACCGCAGCGATTTGTCAACCATCCCCCACCCCCCTCGGTGCTTTTCCCCCAATGGTTACAGGTCAAAGACTGGCACAGAGGAACCCTAACAGCGGAACCCTCACCGGCCACCATCGCCGCCGCACCGGGACGGTCGAGCTATCGTCAACGGGGTGGTGGCGCCGGCGGCGGCGGCAGGGGTAGTCCGTCGCTCAGTAGCGGCGGCGGCGGCGGCGGGCGGGGCGCGGGGCAGTTCATGGGAAGTCGGCGCTCGCGCGCCACGGCAGGCGGCGGTGGCGGCAGCGGCGGCAGCGGCGCGTTCTCCGATGACGATGATATGATGGACGACGACGGCGACTCGTTCGGCGGCGGCCGGGGCGGCGGCGGGAGCGGCGGGATCGCCGGCGGCGCACGATCCGGCGGGGGCGGAAATGGGTGGGAAGGAGCGAGCGGCAGCGGTGGAGGTGGTTTCGCCGCCTCTCAGCACTCGTCGACGCAGGGCGGTGGAAGCGGCGGCGGCGGTGCGGGCGTTGGGAGTCGCCACGGACGGGCCGGGGAGAGTTTTTTCGGGGAGGGCAAGGAACCCGAGGGCGCCCTGAAAGGGGCGGTGGTGTGGTGCGCGCGGCTCTCCCTCGCGATAAGCCCGCACCCGTCCACGGCCCGCCGGCTGTCGCAGGTGTTCGAGAAGGCGTACGGAGGCGGGCTAGTCGACGAGGCGGAGCTGTTCGCCGTGGCACGGGCGGCCGCAGAAGTGTTCTTCACGGGGGAAGACGAGGAGGAGGAGGAGGAGGAGGAGGAGGACGCCGACGAAGAGGGAAACAACAAGGAAGGCGGCCCGAGAGGGGGAGGGGGGGGAGGGCTCTCTCTGGTGAGATCGGCCGTGAAGCTCGTGGTCACCTACGCGGACGAGGACGACCGCTCCAGCGGCTGGCTGCTGCGGCTCCTCGGGGTCGTCCAGCAGACGGTGGTCGCCCGCGGCCAGCAGGGAGGGTTCCCCCTGACCCCCAGGGGCGGCGGCAACGACAACAACAGCAACATGGGGTCGGCCGCCGGCGAGGCCGAGCGCGACTGTCTCGCTAGGCTCGCGGCCTCCGTGTTCAAGGACAAGCTCGTGGTGGCCGGCGCGAAGCACAGCCGGCTGGTCCGCGCGGCCCAGGTCTCCGCCGCCCGCGCCATCTTCGACGCCTTCCCCGACGACGGGCTGCGGGACCGCTTCGCGTCGCTTGTGTTCCGGAGGACGACGGACCTGGACTCCGGGGTGCGGTCGGCCGCGGTCGGGGCGACTCGCATCCTCTTCCGCCGGTTCTCGCCGGAGAAGCACGGCGCAATCTTCGCGACGGTGCTGGGCAGGCTCCCGCCCGTGGTTGTGGTAGACGACCGGGTGGAGCTCGAGGATGACGACGACGACGACGAGGGCGACGGGGAGGGGGCGACGACGATGCTGGCTTCCGAGCAGGCGTACGCGAGGCTCTCGGCCGGGCGGTCCGAGAACGAGCGCCGGTACTTCGTCGTGTGCCGGCGGGAGTTCGAAGCCACGTCCCTGGTCACCGTCGCCGACATGGCCGCCTCCAGCGCGAGGGTCACGCGGGCGGCGCTCTACCACCTCCTGCGGCGGTCGGTGAGGCCCGAGCTCGCGCCGGCGGTGCGCCGGCTGACGGAGCTGCTGGCGCGAGGCCTCGGGTTCGGCTCCGGGCCCGCGCTGCTCAGGGAGCACCTGATGTTCTTCGTCTCGGAGTGGCTGACGGACCGGTCGTCCCTGGAAGGGTTTCCATTCGAGCTTCTCCTGGAGCATTCCGCGCGGGCGGGGAGGGGGCGCGCGCTCCGAGCCTGCGCGCACGTGGCCGTCCCGCTGGCGGTCGTGCAGCTTTCCCGGAAGGACCGCCTGCGGGAGGTGCAGGCGATGGCGGGGGAGCTGGGCATGGGGGCCACGGACAACGGCGTGGCTCGCCTCGTCAGGCTCCACGTGGCCGACATCAAGGCGGTGTACCTGCCCCTGCTGTACACCGGGGACGGCGGCGACGGCGGTAGCGCGTCTGGAAACCCGGGAGCGGGGGACGCGAGCCGGGACAGAGCGGTCGCCAACGAGGCGGACGGGTTCCTGCAGAGGGTCATCGACGGGGGAAAGGTCGGCAAGACCTCGGACAACCTGCAGACCCTGGTCCTCCGGCTGCTGGACATGGGGGCCGTTGAACCGTTCGGCGCGTTCGGGCGCCTGACCCTCAGGTCCATCGCGGACACCCTCGGGCAGGTCGCGAGCCAGCTGGGCGCGGGTGGTGGCGGCGGTGGCGGCGGCGGCGGCGGCGGCCAGCAGCGAGCGAGCGGCTCCGGAGGGGCGGGGGCGGCGGGCGCCGCCGACACCGGGGACCTCCTGAGGCGGGTAAACTTCGTGGAGGTGGTGCTCCACCTGCGAGGGCTCATCGCGCGCGCGAGGGGGGTCGAGGCGCAGCGGCGGGTGTTCGACATGCTGGAGTTCGTGGTCACGGAGGCTCGCGCGGAGGAGGACGCCAGCTGCCTGTCGTCGACGGTGAGCGTCCTCCTCTGGGTGCTGGAAGTCCGCGCGTCGGAGCTGAGCGCCTCCGCCGCTACCACCTACGCTGGCTGTTCGGGGGACGA